TTATATTATACTATAAATGTAAAAATCATTATTCCATATCAAAATTGTGTACAATTAATATAAATCGATTTTTTAATAGAATTTTTATGAAATATAGTTACGTTCAATTCAAATGTGAGAAATAGCAATCTAATAAAATAATTATTTTTTTTAATTAGTTCAAGAATATTTATTATAACATAAATACTAGCATACCAAATTTTTCCTGATTTATCGAATAATAAAATAAAATGTATTGTGGATCGAAGTCCATGAATATTTTACGGAATGAACTTTTATTTTTAATCACAGTTTTTCATCATTTCAGTATTGATTGCACCAAATCGTATGCTATGAATTATATATACATTTACCATAAAATAAATATTTTTCACTTATTCGGAAAAAAATTATTGTATTCAAAGAGTTAAGAACTTTCTTTAATTATCTGTAATTACATGTCACATAAACGTTATTCAAATACTGATAATCTAACGTTGTATAAATACGATTCTTGTATATGATCATTTACATGAACCACTGTAGATAACAATTTCTGTCACGTTAGATAAATGAAGTTTTAAGCTACTTGCACTAGTGGTCCTATAGTTGAAATATCGTTACAGACATTGGATCTAAAATTAGACTGAGTTCTCATTGGATACACGCAGCGGATGTGTTGCCTTTTTTTAGATATACATATGATCGACTTTGGATGACTTAACTGTGATAATTAATTAAGTAAATACTAAGCAGTTAAAAATTGAATAGTTAAACTTGCAATTACTAATTTAAACAATTATCATTACAAAAATAAATATACCTTTTTATTTATTTAAAACAATTAATACATATAATTACGGAAGCACAATTATATCATTATATAAAGTTAATCTTTTGTATTAATAGCTTCATACACAAACTAAACTTATTAAAAGTAAATGGAAACAGATCATTCCATTATTTTATTCTTATTAAAGGAATATGAATAATAATACAATTATTAATGTAATCTAAATCAAATTTACATGTAATGATAATACCGAAAATTAGATAATGAATAATAATTCACTTTTTCATAATTACTTTAGAATTAGGCTGCAACTGTTATCAACTATTAATTGTAGTTAAAAAATAATACATGCTTATATAAGATTTAATTTTACATATTATATATAATTACTATATTATATGTAACTTTATATATACTTTATAATATAAAACATAAAATACAAAATATAATTTCAACTGAATAAAATTTCATCTTTCATACAATTGATAATCACGTGGACTGACCATACGTAATCACACGCGGGTTAATTTGATAGCATTTGACTAGCCAGCATTTTACAAGTACAACTCGGTCATGATGCTTATGATATGGAGCAAAAGCATTCCAGCATCATCATCAGGAATGGTTTCTAAAACGAATATGTAGTTGAGAAGTGGGGATGTAGCGTCAAGCAAGACGTTGAGCTTTGCTGATGTGGAAGTCGAGTAAGCTGAACTAAAGCTGAAAAAGAAGCTGTCATTAATACTCCTAGCGTTTAAAGTTCTAATATTTCCGTTTATTTGCCAATTTTTAATATTGTTTTTTTTTCTCGTATCTACGCAAGTTATGCAAAAATCCATGCTTCTCCAACTCGTGATTGGTTTTTCTGTTTTGGCGATAGCAATTCCAAAACCGGAAAATGAACATAAGTCGCGTATCATCAATAAGGTTTGTCTCTGTTTTTCAAAAATATCAAACTGTTTAGACTACATTTGTGTGATAAAAGATTTTCATTTTCAATCATTTGAAAAATGATGTCTTTCATAATAATAAACAAATCTTCTACACATAACCTCATGAAATGCATTTACATATAAATAAAAGTATACTCTTTTTTCACAATGTTCCCTATTTGAATAAAATTTGATGAAATTTAGTAAAATAAATAATATGTGTATCAAAAATAAATTTCTAACATAAATAATATACATTTATTTATATCTTTTTAATTTGCATACCTCCAAGTAAACTTTATTTTAGGAACCAAACAATGAAGAACATTATGTTAATTCACAACATAATCCTGCCTATGATCATGAAGCTTTTCTAGGGGAAGAAGCAAAAACTTTTGATCAACTCACCCCTGAAGAGAGTACAAGAAGATTAGGAATAATAGTTGATAAAATAGATAAAGATAAAGATGGTTATGTTACTAAAGAAGAACTTAAAGATTGGATATCATATACACAACGACGTTATATACGAAATAACGTTGAACATCAATGGAAATCTCATAACCCCGATGAAAAAGAAAAAATTCCATGGACAGCATACTTAGCAATGGTTTATGGTGATATAGATGAACATGAAGCAGCAAGTAATGAAAAATCTAAAGATAATACTTTCTCATATGTTACTATGCTTAAGAAAGATCGTAGACGTTGGACAGCTGCAGATTTAGATGGTGATGATGCTCTTACAAGAGAAGAATTTGCTGCTTTCCTCCATGCAGAAGAAGCAAATCATATGAAGGATATTGTAGTATTAGAAACTATAGAAGATATTGATAAAGATGGGGATGGCAAAATATCTCTTTCAGAATATATTGGTATATATTTTCTTTTCTCTGCACTTAATTCACATAAATTGAAAATTATATCAAATCAATTTTGATTAAAAAATCTGTTCTAACAATACTTTATATGAAAAGTAAAACATACTTTTTTTATAGGTGAGTTGTATGATGGTGTAGAAGGTGAAGAAGAACCAGAGTGGGTGAAAAATGAAAAAGAGCAATTTTCTGCGTATCGTGATAAAGATGGTGATAGTTTCCTAAATTTTGAAGAGGTGACACATAGCTTTGCCTGAAATATAAATTACATAAAATATAGCTATATTAATATTAAATATAATTGCATTCAAATAAAAAATTTCAACTAATTAAATATTTTTATATAGGTCAAAACATGGATAATTCCAGCTGATTTTGATCAAGCAGAAGTAGAATCTCGACATCTCATATTTGAAGCGGATACAGATGCGGATCAAAAACTTACTAAAGATGAAATATTGGAAAAATACGATGCTTTTGTTGGGTCTCAAGCAACTGATTTTGGTGAAGCCTTAGGCAGACATGATGAATTTTAATAAAATTCGTGTATAATTTTTAAATAATACTTTCATAAATGAACAAAAGGCATGATTGATTCATCAAGAACAAAATTTATAAAGCATTTAGTAAACGAAAGATACTTACCTTTACTAGTAGATTAAGCATTTCTTTTATAAAAGCTGATTTTCACTTACCTCATAACATTGTAAACTAAAAATCAGTGCATCTTTCAAAAGTGTAAATATGTATTAGTCATTGTAATAAATTACAGATATTTTAAATATAATTTTTCTTAATAAGATATAGCTTTTATAACTATATTTGTTACTCGAATATATATATATGTATATATTTTATACAAATTATAATACTAATGACAGATACCTTTTTATTCTTGATATATGAAAATAAATATATTAGTTTAATATAAAACTATACAATAGATGCAATTATCTGTACATGATACATCATTGTGATAAAGACTACTTTTATCAGATAAGCTCCATAAAACTGTTGAAAATGATCAGTAGAATACAGTGCACATCATAAGACATCAAATAGATCAAAATGATCAAAATTGATTTATATATATTTTTCATCATCTATGGAGTGTATCTGTTATCAGGTAGTTATATTTCAAATGTTATAATTTTTGAAACTTAAAAAAAATTAATAAAACTATATTAATTATTTATATTATAGTTAAAGCAAATTATGTAGTACCACAGTGTTATAAATTCACTTGGGTAACACCTGTATTTGACAATAAACCTGATAGAGATAATTGTTCACAATTCAAAGGTGTTCCCTGTATTGATCCTTTAATTCGTTCAGGTAAAAATAACTTTTATAAAAAAACAACAATGTTATTTATTTATTTATATTTAAATTTCAATACAAAAATTTTAATAATATTTATTTCAAATAAGAATATTTTTGTAATACATTATTTATAGTAAGAAATTAAAAAGCAATTATTATTATTCATATTTTAGAAAACTCACCAAATATGACAAAATTACGGGAAGAAAATCATTTATGCAATGTTACATCTGGCAATGTATGTGTAAAGTACACTTTTACTTATAATAATAACAGTAAGTATATTATACTGTAAAAAATTCTGTCAAAAAATATAAAAAAGTGTTATGAAATTAAAAATAATTACAGTTGTTAATACATCATCATTTTGTGGAAAAGTAATAGAAGATAAAATAATACCTATTACATCAGGATGTTATACACAACAAGTAAGTAATTTTAAGTGTATTATTTTATATTTTAAAAAGGACATATAATAATTTTTATTCAATTTAGTATGTTTGTTGTTTTTATAAAAAAAAATATTCGCAAATTATGTAAAACTTCAAAAAACTTTATTAATTTACTACTTGATTTCATATATTATTTAAAAAAATTTAATTTTTGTAAATCAGTATTATCATATCATTATAGATTGATGGTTATGAACTCGAAACGTGTGCTTGCCAATCTAGAGGGCTGGAACTTTGTAATGTATCAATGAAAATAAATCATTCTATTATTTTAATTATTACAATGTTATTACTTACATTTGTAAATTTAACATAGCGCTTCTAAATGATTGTAATGTATATCTTTGTTTTCATAATTTGTTATTATATTACATGATATATTATTATATTACATATAAGATTTATAACACTGTAATACTTTTAATATACGTTTATTCAAGTATTTATAATAAAACCAAAGATATATAAATAAAATTCAAATTATCAATAAATGTTTAAACTTCTGTACAAAACATGAAAACCATAAAATAAACAAATATAAAGATATATACAGTTTCAAATATAAGTTAAAGATTAAAAAACAATACTATAAATTTTCAAAGAATGTAGATAATAAATAGTAAGGAAATAAATATTTTTAATTAAAGTTCATGAGAAACAATATATGAGAAAGCATTAAAAATAAAGGATTTTAAACTAAAATTAATATTTTAATAATTATAATAAGAAATTATGAAATTAACAAAATATATTTGTTTTAGAATTATGTACAAAAAATATAATAAACTAGGAATAATAGGAACGTTTTTCTAGTAAAAAGATGCAACCCTATCGTTACGTTTAAAAGAAAACAAATAATAATATGTAACTATATATAGCAAAGTGTAGGGATATACATAATGTAAAAAAGCTTTTATTAAAAATTTCTTAATAAGAATTATTTTGAGATTCTATATATCGAAGCCATAACGGTTCAGTAATTGGACATATCCGTTTATCTAGGAACTTTTCGCAACAATATAATATACGTGGTGTATGTATACAGAAAGAAAACTATTTATGTGAACCGTTTATGAATCTGCTGGTAGTGCAGATCACGAACAAATACAGTGACTGATTTTGTATTAACCGCATGGTATATACCTAAAAACTGTATATATCACTTAAATATAATATTTTCTTTGCAATATGTTAAATAGCCATTTATTTTGAGTATAATGTAAACGGATATTTAGGAGTGATATACTTGCCGAACTAAATGTAAGCATTACATCTTAATATAATTTTATAAAGAAACATTTGTTTTAGGTTACTAAACTATTTAAAGTTATTTTATATATTAATAGCAATTTAAATTAAATTTGTTTATATTGATGTTTGTGCTTTATTATATAAATTTCTTATATTTCTTTTATATACGGATTCATGCACAATTTTGAATTACCAATTTTTTCAAATGAAAATGAAAATTTAACATTTATCACAAAGTAATTTGTTATTGTTAATATAATAACAGGTTTATGTCTGATAGAATAATTTTTCCTATAGTATTTTATCTTTTGTTAGACAATTTATTAAAAATATTTTATTACTAATACATTCGTTATAAATAATCGTTTTTTTTTCTTGTTTTTTTAAGAAACATCACAATATGGCAGAACAACAACAGTCACCTTCTGGCTTTAAACGTATGTCTTTAGATAAAATTATTGAAGCTATGACTTCAGATTTAGAAAGTTCTAATGGTCATTATGTTCAGTTTGGTGTAAATCCACAACAAGCTACATCTCATAATTGGGGAAATTATTCTTTAAATCAAACAAGACATTATATTGCTAGTCAACCTCCTCATTCTAATCCACCTACAATGCAATCCATGCCTCCAATGGGTGCTCCTCTTTACATGCAAGATATGTCAAACTATAATTCTTCAACAGATTCAATCTACTTTCCATCTCAAATGGTAAATCATTTAGGTATAAATGAAAACAATGACTTAATTGGTACTATAGATGTCGGAGGAGGCAATTATATTAATGTAATTTATGGAAATGCTTCACAAATAATGGCAGAACAGTGTCAGCTTTCAAATATGACATCTTATAGAAATCAAAATATGATTGATAGAGAATATGGTCTTTTTAATGAACGACATATGAATGTACCATCTGAATTGCCAACACAAAATTTTAATGGAAAACAGTTAATTGAAAATTTGGTTGGTAATTGGGTACCAAATCAATCTGGTACATATAGTCCTTTTGGTGGATCTCCAAATGTAACTCCAGTACCACAATCAAATATAGATATTAGAGATTCTGAAGAATTACCTAGAAATTCAACTGATCCTCAACATAAGAAACCTCGTGCAGTAGCTGAAGTAAAACCCATGCGACCTTCTTATTCTGATGTTCTAACAAAATCTGCTCCTACACCTCCATCTCCTTTAACAGTTCAATCTATAAAACCCAAAACAGAATCTGTGAACAAGAAGATTTCTAATAAAAATTCAAAGAATAAATCTAAATCTACAACACTAAAAAGACAAAATTCATCTGGAAGTGATGACCATAATTCTCCAAAAATGCAAATACCACGGAAAGTATTAGAGAAAAATAATTCAAACCTCCCAAGACGCTGGGTATCATTAGACAATCTTGGCTCACCAACTGAAACTCATGAAATAAGTAGTTTTGATAGATCAAATCAATTTGAAAAGAAAAGAGTTTCTAAAGTACCTAAAAAAATAGACAAAGGAGAAACACTTAATAATTCAAAAGTTCAAAATAATAATCCTAAACTTACTGGAAATATACCTAAACGTCCTATACAAATAAATAACAATTTAAATATAATAAATACTTCCAGCCAACCTATATCTTCTGAAAAAATAGAGAAAAACCAACAAATTATGAACAAGGCAAATAAAGAAGAAAAAAAGACAACTAAAGAAAAGAATTCTAAACGTTTTCAAGCTGATAAGACACAACAAATTAAGAAGGCCCAAAGAAATCGGAGAAGAGAAAATAGAGAATCACCAGTCAAAGATTTATATAAAAACTTGAATAAATATGCTAGCCATTGGATTAAAATTGGATTAAAAATATTTCATTGGTTACTACACTTAATATCTGATGTAGTTAGTATGAGTGCTAATCTTATGATTCTTCTGTAAGTAATGCTTAATATAAAAATTGTATTCTAACTTATTTTTGTGGTGCACCATATTAATATATTTTGTATAATGCAAATAATTAGACATATATTTATTTTTCAGTGGAAAGTGTGGTTGGTATCATACAATACTGTATTTAAAATACTCATGGGTTTATATGGCTATTACATTTTCAAAAGTTCGTATTTTGAATGCTGTTGGTAAGCAATTAGATAGCTGGTTTGGCAATAGTAAATTTGCATTTTGGCGTAAAATTAAAGCTAAAAGTGAAGAAAAAGAAGAAAATAGTAATTGGATACATGGTGGTCTTGAAGCTAATATTGCATTACCTAGTACTGGTGAAGAGGCTATGAAAAGATTATTAGCCTGTAAAGGAAAAGATCCCTACAGTATACTTGGTGTCACACCAACATGTTCAGATGATGATATTAAGAAGTATTACAAAAGACAAGCCTTTTTGGTTCATCCAGATAAAAATAATCAGCCTGGTGCAGAAGAAGCCTTCAAAATACTTGTACATGCATTTGATATAATTGGTGAACCGGTATGGCATCTTTTTATATTTATTCTAACCAAAATATCTTAACAAAAAGTGTATCTTTTGTACATAATTTATTTTTTTTTTATTTTCATTATAATGGCATTATTCTTGCAATATTTTAGGAACGTAGACAAGCATTTGATCAAACTAGACAAGTTGAAGCAGCTTGGGGTGTATTAAGTGATTTACTCTCCCAACTTCACAGAAAGATGGAACAGGCAGCAAATACAATAAGATGTACAAATTGTGGTTTGAGGCATAAGAGGATTCCAACGCAACGTCCCTGCTATGCAGCGCGATTTTGTGCTCAATGTAAAATACGTCATAGTGCGAAAGAAGTAATTATCAAAACATTATGCAAAAACAAATTTATTAGATTATACTCTTAAATGTATTTTATTCAAAATTTTTAGGGAGATATTTGGGCAGAATCTCGTTTAATGGGCTTTCTTTGGCATTATTATGCTTGTATGGAAGGAGCGGTATATGATGTTACTGACTGGGCAGCTTGTCAAGCTGGTAATTTAAAACACCTAAGAGCAAATACACATAGTGTTCAGTATAGAATTGTCTTAGGTCAGCGACCACCATCACAAACAACCAATAGTGGCAAAAGACGTCAACAAATAGATCCAAATACCAGGTATTAAATTTTGATTAAATTCATAAATATTTAATAATTTTTTATATTATATAACATTATAAGTAATTGTTCACATTGAATAGTGAAGCAGATTTTGAAGACTTTTTAAATAATTTATACAATCATAGCAAGACCGGAAATTCAAGTCCACCAGATCAAAGTTCTTTTGGAGGGGACTGTAAGCGTCGTAAAACTAAACGCAAGAAGTAAAAAATTTGGCAAGTTACTTCCCTAATCTTTTAGCATCCGTCATGTATAATTATACAGTAATATACATAGTACTCTAACGAATTCTTATATTCTTTCCTTCATATAAATATAAATAATATTCATTAACTCTAGCACAATACTGAACTCTTAATAGGACGAATTTTAAAAAGCGTATTTATGTAACTTTGTCATCAAAAACGTTTTTTTATTTTTATTGCAATGAAAGTTTATTTGAGAAAAAAAATGTATATACTTATGCAAAAACATTGCAAAAGACAATTTATTTAATAACTAGACGACAAACATTTGTTTAACATTAGAAAAGTTATTTAAAACCTTAACATTTTAATCATTGATTTATACATAAAATCAACTTGTACTTTTCTAAATTAATAAAGTGTGCAACTTTAATATATTTTAAAATACAAAAGGTTACAAACGTACTATAATATTAAAATGTACTATGAATTAAAATTTCAAAAATAATTAATTTTTAATTCATGTAAAATGAAAACCCCATATACAAATCATTTTCACATTATATTTATAAATGCAGAATTTATTAATACCTATCAGATTAAATTATGAAAAACAAAAATGTATAAAAAGTAATAGTTCCAATACTTATCAAACTATAAATAATCTTTCAATTCAATTCAAACATAATACTCAAATATTAATATTATAGTAACATTTTAATATAGTATGCCAAGTATAGTTACAGTAAGTTGTATCAATATTTTTTTTCTGTATTTAAGAGAACTGAAAGCAATGAAAGGAATTAAACATTTTTTTATTGTAAATGGCTTTAAATAATGTCTATTTCAAGTTAATTGTTATTAAGCTATTATATATAAGCATATAATATAAATATCAAAAAGCTTTTCATTATAAACTCAACAAATTTCTGTATACCAATTTCTGTTTAGGAACTTAACATCATCCTTTGAATTAATTGGTTAATTTCTGTATGAATAGTATGAAATATCTTGAAACAAAATTATTTTTCAACGCTTTTATCAATTTTAAAACTATAATAAAAAAATAACCAAAGAAAGGATTTGTAAATTAATATTTCATTCTGATTATAGATGATTTCAAAATATTTTAATTAATAAATTCAGTAAATTAGATAGAAATTATTTAATTTACAAACTGAATAAAAACATTATGGTTATCCTTGTTACATATATCAATGAATATAATAATAAAAGTATAATTGCATATTTCATTAACAGAACATTGATGCTCTTAATATTAATACAAATTAATAAAAAGTATTGTTTCAATGATGATCAGCTTTATCTGGAAAAATTAAAACAATAGTTTCAGTATTGATTTATTTGTGTTTCTTGGTATTGATGATATTTTTTTAATTTGGAAAACACAATACTAATTTGACATTTTTCTTTTTTAAATGTATTTATTGTTTAGTATATTTTATATCAGAACTATATGTATTAGCAAATGTCAGATGAAATATTTTGTAAGTTACATTGTTTTCTATTGAAATAATTAATAAAAATTTGTTATTTTTTAAGTCTGTGAATTTTCAACAAACCAATAACTTATATCTTTTAAGTTTGTATGTATATAATTTTTTTTTTTATAAAGACTCATATACAAATATTTATAATAAAATTTAATATGCATTTATTTAAAAGCTAAATTCATATGTATTACAATTTTTATTATAAGTGTAGTGATATAAGTAAATATTTTCTATAAAGAATATATATATGTTGTTATTAATATCATTTCTTGTCAAAAAATAATTGTTTTGATTAAATAATTTAATTATATTGATTAAAATATTTTGAAAAATCAGAATGGACATTTTAAAATATCATTTAACTTTTTTCATGTTTTATAATAGTTTGTAAACAAGTGCAATTCTATTTAAGAAAAATTTATACAAGGTAATGTTAAATAATTAAAAAACAATTTTAAAAATAAATTTTCAGTATCACATTCATTTTCTTTATTTTATCAAATATAGTTACTGCTATTTTCAATAAGACTTAAGAAATTAAATGTTTCCATTTAATAATTCTATTTTATATATTAACAAGATTATATGACCTTCTAACTATACATATTCTTGTATTATTATTTATTTTATATCATGATCTCTAAATATTTGCAATTGGTAGAATAAAAATTAAATAATTGGCACGTATAAAATAAGACTGATTTTCATAAGTTATGTATCAAATAGAAATTTTTTAAATACTCTTTTTTGTGTAAAGAATATTCTTTAACAGCTTAAATAAGAAAAATTAAAGAGTTTATTCTTTACATTGTACACAAATGCTACAATTAAATTAAAAATTAAAAGTAATTAAGATGTACATATTTCATTCTGCATAATTTATCTATACAAGATATAATATAAATAATTTAGAAATATTCAAAAAAGTAATGTTAAAATACATTCGAAAATATATTGATGTATATGTTATTCAAAGTTTAATTTATATTTTTTATTTGTATAATAATAAAATTACTTAATTCTTTGTACATGCAAATGAAATTACATGACTGTATTAAATGAGTTTTACAATATAAATACATGTTAAATATGCAGCATATAAATTTTAGCATAAATATAATAAAATGTATTTAACTATCATCTTTCTGTTCTTTTTGAAAACATTGAGGTTTTTGTGTTTGAGTATCTATAATAAAGCACTTTCATATAATTTACATTCAGTTTCTTATCTTCCTTTTAAAAATACAGATTTTCTATTTGATTTAATTATATATTAAACTATTAAGTTTTTAAGATTTATTTTAATTTGCGAATTTAAGAAATATTGTCATTTTCATTTTACTTATTGTTATACATTTATTTTGTTATAATAAAATTGTACATTGCACATTTATTATTTACTGATTTATTTTATGATAAATGAATCTTTTTCTAATTTATTTGCATTAAATATACAAAATTTAAACTTTATTTATATGTTTATATGTGTGTATAATATTTTTAAATAATAGTAATACACTTTTGTTAAAAACATACAAAAATAAAATTATTATTACATTACATAAGCACAAAAACAAAATATTAAGTTTTAATCAAGCATTCCTTCTAGAAATATCAGGGCATCAATATTATTAATTGCACTTTCTATATCTCTTTTCTGTATTGTTTTTTTTTTCATTTGTGCTGTATATTTATATGATTCTTTAGTAAGAGATTCAATAAAAAGTTCCTGTAATAAGATATAAAATTTAATCATTAAGATATGAAATATTTATACCATGAAATTCGATTCATTTAATAAACATTAAAAAGTTTAAATTTCATTGAAATAAAATAACAGATTAATATATAGTATATTACATTATGTTATATTTTACATATACTACATTTATATAAGAATCATTTTATTATTTACAAAGCAACTATGTATAGAATATAAATTAGACATAAACCCAAAAACAATTGTATAACTCAATTATTAAAGATTAATCAATTAAGAACATTGTAATTATTTTAATGTAAAGATAATAGTATGGAAATAGTAAATAAATATGATATATTTTATAATTACCGTAGATTTTGTAATTAGGAAAACAGCTTCTTGGTTAACCATATTCACTTCAGGATCCGTCTTTATAATTGTTTTTATTCTACCTAATGGTAATTTCACTAATTTTTCTTTTTGTTCTTCGTCAATACGAGTATTATTTTCAACTTCTTGAGAATCTTCTCCTCCAGTACTGACAATACTTTCATTTAATTCCTTATCACTTACACTTCCTTCCTCATCGAAATTTGCCATGTTTATATTGATTTGCATTCAAACAATGCATTAACAATTAAATTTCAATACAGCTCAGTTTTTTGATAATGTATAGTAAAAATTATTTTATTTGAAATAATCAGAATTTAATATTAAATTGCTTAATTTATATTTATATCTTTAAGTTTCAATACTTAAAAATTTAAAGTAGTGAATATATTTTAAGTTGTGCACATTTTATGTTTAAATACAGTACTCCTATTTCTAAAATTCTTATAACATAATATTATAAATATTATAATGATTCATATGTACATATTTAAAAAGTGAATTAGAAATAACTAAAGTTAAAAAATATTAAATATAGTATTTAAAAATAATATTTAGTATAGAAGTTCAACTAATTAATTTTCCCTTACATTATAATTATATTGAATAGAAGTCTATTAAAATTTTTCTTTTTTAATTTGGCTAAAAATAAATTTGTACGTGCATATAATTTCATATTATCCTTTCTTTAACATTTGGCGGGTTATATTAATCTAGTGATAACAGTCACGTCTTTCTAGTGGTGAAATATAATATTTGTATCGTTTGACTTTAAGGGGAAAAGAATGATAATTTTTCCTTTATAATTTTTTTCAATAAATTTAAGTATATAATGTACAAACAAATAAAAAGTATTATTGAGAAATGTCCTTTGTTAAATATTTATATGTCTATTTTATTTCGAGATATATAGTTACCAATCTAAAACATTTTAATACAATGGTAAATGTCTTTTCAATTTCCACATGGACATCAGGCTTTTATTTACGACTGATAATTTGACAGTCGTTTCAAAATTGATGAGAACTTTTTAAAATATGGAAGAGAAATCTTGCAAAGAACAATTAACGGAAAATACAGGTTCTTAAATATAAGTTATAATTAGAAAGAATAAATATATAACTTATCATATTTGTTTTATTACAGATGTCAACCAAGATGAGCTGATTCTTCAACAACAAAGGCGAATCGAAATGGAGGTTAATATACATTATTGTTACTTTGTAAATTGAGTTCTTAAAAATTTTTTTATTAATTAACAATTATTTTTTATTCAAAAATTATATATCATTATTTATCTTTTTTAGTAATTGCCATCAATGTTTATTCTTATCTTTTGTTTTAATTTTAATAAACATTTTGTTTACTAAGTTATAGGTTGGAGATCAAGTTATTATACATATATATACACACATGTAATAACTAATGTATTAAATATGTATAATAATAGATAAATGTATACATATATCAAATTTTATTATAAGTTGTAGATAATGTAAATATGAATAATATAATTTAATATTTATGATCTTTATATCTTTATTTTATAGTTAAAAAAGAAAATGAAAAAAGCATAAAATTATTGTGTTTCAGATTTCTGAATCTATTGCTTTAGTTGGAGAAAAAGAATCCATTAAGAGTTTGGAACGTGAATACTCTGAAGATGAAATATATCTTTCAAAAGCTAAAGCATTAGGTCAAAAATATTCATACATTAGGAGGACTAGACCAGATGGAAATTGTTTCTTTAGAGCATTTAGTTATGCATATCTTGAAAAATTAATTGGAAATAAAGATGAATATGAAAAATTTCGAGAACTTGCATTAAAGAGTAAAGATGGTTTGGTAGCATTAGGTTTTCCTCAATTTACAGTTGAAGATTTTCATGATACGGTAAATATGTATTATAAATAATACAATGAAAAATTTGTAATTTATGTCTTCATTATTTTAAATTAAAACAAAAATGTTTTATTTATCTTACAGTTTATGGACGTAATTGATAAAGTACGAGAAGATGCAGAGTCAAGTTATATTGAACTACATAAACTCTTTAATGAACAAGGTTGTTCTGATTATGTTGTTGTATATCTTAGATTAATTACTTCTGGTCAATTACGGCGTGAAGCTGATTTTTACCAACATTTTATTGAAGGAGAACGTACTGTTTCAGAGTTCTGTCGTCAAGTGAGTATTATAGATAGTATTATATATTACTGTAGGATTGTTGGGTGGCAGCAAAATGGTGGTGGTAAATAATAAATATGATTTATTGTGAACTAACTTATTCTAAACTTATGACTTTCACACTGACTATCTCTCAAAGAACTGTCCCATTTTATGCCCTTGCACCCTTATTTAAACTTTGCACTCTGTCTTCTTTCATACTCATGCTCTTTTTCTCAATCACGCGTTTCTCACGCACCCCTCACAGCCTTGCCCTTGGTAGGTCACGTATCCTAAACACTCAGATGTATTTCACTCTTTACTTGCATACAATGTTACCATAAATTTCCTGTTCATGCGATCATTGCACGCGATCACTCGTCCTCTCGCACGTACTCCAAATAATACTCTAAACGCTCGAACCAAACTCGAAATCACTGTTTATCATGCTCTACTTTCAAGGAACAGCCCAAGCTTTCCCATGCACTCTACAATCATATCTACACAAAAGGTATTGTCACAGGCAGTGACCTTATACCCTAATCACGCCACGCTCACCATTTCCACATTAATATTTACATTAGATAAGAAATATGTACATAATAAAATATTTATATACTAAAATAGTAACAATAATTTATATGGTAACTTATAAGGAAAATAGGTTTCAATACTTCTTGTATTTTACTTGACATTAATTAAAACTTTTTCTTTCTATAGGAAGTAGAACCAATGTACAAAGAATCTGATCATATTCATATTATAGCTATGAGTACTGCTTTAGGAACTGGAGTACGTGTTCGTTATATGGACAGAGGTGCTGGAACAGAAGTAACTGCACATGATTTTCCTGAAGGTGCTACTCCAGCTGTTCATTTATTATATCGTCCTGGCCATTATGATATTCTATATCCTTGATAAATCATGCATTAAACTCGCACATAACTTTTTAAAAAATTTCATGACAAAGATTAATTATTTAGCAAATTATATCTTATGTATGTAATCAAAATTCATAACATTTTTTTTGGTTAAGTATAACATTACAGTTATAAGTAATTAATTTAAGCGTTATAGAATATTGAATAAAATTATGAAATTTTATGTAAAAGAATTGTGTTTTTTTAAGAAAATATACATTTAAATTGGTATTTACCATCTATAATAATACTAAATTGTTTATAAATTTTAGTTATTTATTAATTACATAAAATAAATAAAAAATTTAATATACCTTTTTGTATTTATTATTACAAATTATTGTGTCAATAAATATTGAACACCTCAATTTGTGCATTATAGTTTTTAATTCATTATAAGTATTATATCGTAAATAACATTTTGTATTCAAATCATACATTTGTAATCAAACTTTATTGTATGTAAGATATATTCATATACAATTATTAGCTTGACTTTAATAAATAAATTGAATGTTTACAAAAATTATTTAAATTAGTCATTAATAATATAATATAGAAATACAAAATATAAGGTAAATTATA